TTAGTAAAAGTCCTGCATTCAAAACTTTACTTAGTAAGTATCAGCATTAAAATACACTTTAGGTTTTAAAAGCAAAAGTGCCATTTTTAGAATAATATATTATATTATTGAATTATAATTATGGATTCATTAAAGTGTATTAAAGCGTGGAGCTAATTATAATTTCTTTACAGACTGCCAGGTGGCTTATTCCACAAAAACAAACATAATCAATTACTTTATTACATTTAGTATTAATAATCTCACTGCAAATGAACTGGTAACTAAAATGAATGTAGCTTAAAAATACAACACTGACCTCAAAACTTAACTTGTAAATACTGGAAACACTCAAATAATGTGCAAGTAACTACACAAGTAACGGAACTGATTCCTGAGCAGGACGTTACTTGTGCACTTAACGTTACACCCCACCACTGTCAGCCACTAACGTTACTTAACGTTACTTAGGTCATCTAAGTAGCCATTCATTTAACTAACCCAGCTTTTAAAAAGATACAAACCTCCGCCTACACACTTGACTAGTCACACTGAACGCCTGCAAGAATGACTAGTTGCAGCATTTTTAATATTATTATATGTGCAGCCCGTTAATGTAACGTTAACAGTACAAGTAACGTTAGGCGAGCACCGTTTTAAGTTAATGCAGCTACCGTTACATGGACGAGTAACCAGCAGCACACACGCCTTTTTTAAACTTATTTTAACAGCTAACAAATGCATTAAATGCAGGAGTTTAACTTACCTCGTTGTGCTGTCGGGTCTGTCGCAGTTGAACGAAAACACCAACAGCCTAGTTAGTGGTTTACTGTCAAATTCTCTGTGAGGAAACGATAATCCTCTCTCTAACGTTAGCCCCTCCTCCGTTCACACACTCATCTCCACTCCGCTCAACTCGGACACAGAAGATAAAACAACAACTTCGCTAGTTAGTCTGTTAGTCCTGGATTTCCACAAGTAGGGAGCTGGATGCCATGACTGCGGGGTTGACGCGTGTTGTGACAGCTCGGAGGTTCCTCCGCTACAACTGGGGACGGTTAGCAGAGTGAAGCTAGCGAGAGTGAAGGCGTGCACTTCCGGTTAACAAAATAAAGTTCTGCCGAAAATGTAATCGGATGGTGTTTATTTTGTTGTTCGTTTTTTATGTTTTTTATTTTGAATGTATTATTATTATTATTATTATTATTATTATTATTATTATCTCTAAAAGTGTTATCTGTTGTGGATTTTTATTTTTCTCTTGACTAGTGTTTTTTTTATTTCCCTAGACTCCTTACTGTTTTTATACCTGTTTTTCTCTTGTACATGTGTGTTTTTTGTATTTTCCCCTACTCTTACTGTTTTTATACTGTTTTTTCTCTATCCCAACTTTACCTGCTGTAACATTGGAATTTCCCCATTGTGGGACAAATAAAGGAATATCTATCTAAAGTGAGCTCTCTCACATAGCTGAATAGTGTACAGTTTTCTTGTTTAAACTGTAAGAGATTATTAGGACCAAAAATACATTTTCACCAGAAAATGGTGCATAAAAGCGAGTACCCTTTTAAATCTTTATTTATTTATTTATTCTATCTGTACACGACCATAGAAATGATGTTGTACACTTTGAATCTGTTTCCGGTTTCGTTTTGGTGATTCATGGCATAGTGCTTCAAGCAATAAGGAACCAAAGATCGCCATCTAGTGGTCATATATATGTTCACATCATGAAACTCTTCCCTCAGCTGCTATTCAGTCCTGCTGACACACAGTGGAGCCATCCGGCTGTGAATAACACGTCCTGAACAGGTCTGTTACACTTTATAAAAGCTCCTCAAGTATCATTAAACTGACATTGTAATGTTAAGAACATTGGGCTTATAAGCCCAAAATCTTAAATCTTAAAAAAAGGTAACTCAAGCAAACTAAACGGTCTGACATCAAAATCACCTGATGTCAGAGGGAAAATCCATTCAAACACAAGGGCAGGAAGTGAGAGATATTAAACTGGGCTACTACCAGCAACTGCCAGTAAACCAAAGCTCTAAGGGGCCACAATGAAGGAAACAAACAGCAGAGCAATAGTTGTATAACATTTGTGTGTTAGTCAAACCTTCACTGGATAAAAACAGTTTTCTTTTTTCTATACTGTATCATTGAACATATGAAAGGTTTCACTGCAAATGTAGATACTGAAGGCCTGCTGTGTTATGGCATCTACCAGAGCTCATCAAGCTCATAGGAGAAATTACGACGGCTGTAAAACGTATAGAAAACATGAACAGCCCTAGAGCCACTGCTGTACTTCTTCTGAAGAAACATGGCGGTTCAACATGGCCTCTGTAGATATATAAGGCTTATTCTAAGGTAACAAAACATTATGATTCTGTTTTACAGCTGATTATACACTTATGATAACACCGTTATGCATATTATACTACTAATAATCCACGCATGTACTATATATATAACAAAACCATTTATGTCTGTCAATTAAGTGATTCATTACCTTCATTGGCACATGTATTACCCATCATGTCATCAAATGAGCATTAGGTGAACTTTCTTTGCAATACAGCCTTTTGGGATGAAATCCTTCTCACAGATTATTCATCATGATAGCCCATGTTCATCTTCTTACATTACACATGTCTACATCCTTGCATGAATGGAGTGCTATTTTCCCATCTAACTAAACTACTATGGCTGTGTTTATTGCCATAGGAACCATTAGCTGCAGGTACAGCTATAATAATTCAAAAAATGTATATAAAAGCTTTTTAGAGAAAGTGACAACACCAGTAGCAGTTAATGCAACCAGATAAGGTCAAACCTCTCAGAAAGTGAGACCAGGTTTTAGAATTGCTCCCTCTGTCTATTCGCCGCATGTTGGGGAACAAATCTCCCCCAAAACACAACAAAATGCTTTTAAGGGAAACCCTTGGGGCTTTGGTACTCTTTGCAGTGTTGCAAGCAGCCCAAAATAAACCCAATCTGACCTTATCACTGGGCAGACAAGGTCCAGGCAGGGGGAGGGAAGGCGGGAGGGGGATAATTCTTTATTCCAGCGGGTCATTTTAAGAAAAAAAAAAGCTCAGAAATGCGGCTGGTATGTCCGGATTGTTCCATATTTGATAAATACTTTCAGAAGGTCTGGAGACTATCAGCAACACAGGCAGAACCCCTGACCCCTGAGCCTCACCAACACAATGTGTGTGTATGTATTGTGCATGAACGTGTGTGTGTATTTACGCCCGTTGAACCCATTGTCTCTGAGTCTGTTATCATTATGCAGCAGTTTCCTCCGGCTGGCTGGCGTGAGGGTGAGGGAGAGACAGAGAAATAGGAATACATTCAATCATCAGATGCTCAACAATGAAGAGTCTATAATGTTGACAGGCTCATCACTCCTGAGGCCAATTCCACTGACTTTCAACAGAACATTTTTTATGCACTCTTTCATGTCTGGCATTTCCCTTCTCTCTTCACTTCAACACACACACAAACACACACACACACACACAGACTCCCACCCTGCTTATCTACCAAGCTGGTGGCCCAGACACAACCACAGTGCGCAAACAAACAGCTGACGTCATGGGCACACATGCACACACACCAGCTTTCCCATTTCTGGCCTGAAGTCACCGGGTTGAAATGTGATCAAAAATAGAGTGAGAGTGAAATGTGTGTATGTGAGAGGTGTTTGTTTATGAGAGTTCGACAGAGGGAGGGTGGGTAAAAGGAACGAGGCGGTGGAGGGAAGATGGGGGCACAGGGGGAGAGACAAGGATGGTAAGAGAGAGTGAAATCTTTAAACAGACATGGGGGCACTCACCTACAGACGGTGACACACACTGCCCACACTCACACACACACACACACACACACACACACATACACACACTGTCTGAGTCATCACCAGCGATCTCTTATCAAGGCCTAATAGGCAACATGTAGTAAATCCGCCAGTCAGACATATGCACACACTGTACTGCAGGTGTGTACACACTGCAACATTATGCAATTCTGCTTATTTAAACAGGATAACTTTCATTTACATATGACAAATCTGATGAAATATTTTGTTTGTTTTGTTCCAGGATGAACAAGAAAGTTCTTTCTGCCAGCTCATATGGCAAAAATTGTTTCATACCAAATATTCTATAATTCTATATTATTATGAATAATTCTATAATATAAGTCTATATTCAATATTTTGCACTAAGCTCTTATCATCACTTCTTCTCATAAGTATGCATTAAACCCAGTACAGCAGACATTGGGGAACTAAAGAGAACTTAAGTTTAGCAAGTGAACATTTTGTCCTCAAAGATGTGTTAGAAGCAGGAAAAATGGGCTCATTGACGCACGTGGGGAGCGAAGGCTGGCCCGTGTGGTCCGATCCAACAGACGAGCTACTCTAGCTCTAACTGCTGAAAAAGTTAATGCTGGTTTCTGATAGAAAGGTGTCACACAGTGCATCACAGTTTGTTGTGAATGGGGCTGCATAACATTATGACCACCAGGGTGCCCAGGTGGTCATAATGTTATGGCTCATCGGTGTATATATATATGAAAAAAACTTCATGTCTAAACACGTAAGCCTCGTTAAAGCTTCTGAGTTCATGCACTCTGCTCTGTGGTGTGAACAACCACATTTCATTTGCTATTCATTCCTCTTATTCAGACAGATACTCGCCTGCAGGCAGACCTGAGCAGATACAGTACTGGGTAATTACATTTTGAATAGCTGAAGAACACCAGGCGTACTTTATTTATCTGATCTTAGTCCAGCTCAGTGGATGTTTTACAGAGAAGAACGATTCCCGCTTTCCACACAAGAGCTAGTGGAGAGTGAAACATGATTGGCCCTTACTTGAACTGTCTGATCTTAGTTTACAGTGATTGGATGATTTGCAGGAAAATACCAATTTCCATTTTGACTCCACAGCTGGCAGATATGAAGTCTGATTAGTTTCCACCCCATTTCTTCTTATATTGTCCTTTACATTTTGGCCAATCACTTAATTTGTGTTAATTGGGTTGAAAAGTGTTCCAATTCTAACTAACAGTCACAAAAGACAATAGCCTCTGATATATACGCCACACACAGACCTGTGGTTGAAAAATAATACATTTTTCCATTCCCATTTCAGTTTTTTCTCCTCTACTGTCCTAGTGCTAAAATGAAGTGAGCAGAAAGGTCCGGCAATGGAAGACTAACCTTATCTTGCAAATGAAGTGTCTACTACTGTTCGGCTCTGTGTGAAGATAACTCAGGAACCATTTCCTTTACTGCTCCTCACTCTAATTTAGACAGATATGGATGTTAAGCCTGCAGGGAGACCTGGAAAAGATTGTAACTAATTACCTGTCGAACACTTCAAAAATCAAGAGTATGCCTGTGTTATCTTTCTCATATCTTCTTGGTGGGCAATGTGTCCGCATTTGAAGCTATTTATATGTCTAGTAATAAAGAGATCGTGACCACCTCAGCCATGTGCCATAAGATGGGAAGCAGGTGAGAAGGCTTGTGTGTAATGAGAAACAAGATGGAGGCCTATATGTGAGTTGTGAATCTTAAATTTACTGTATTGCATTTTTCATTGTGTTACCTACTGCAATCTCAATTTACTGTGTCCCTATCTGCATTTTATTTTTTTATTTTTCTTGCTGCGGCAGTGGCCCAATTTCCCAACAGGGATCATTAAACTTTCATTTCATCAAATCTAAGAACCATGTAAGCTGGAATTGGACATTTTCTGGCAAGCCACTGAACTTGTAGTGGTATATTCTATCCAAATTATTTAGGGTGTTGATGTCTTGCATCTTCTGAACCTACTGGGTGTAATTATGGATAGACACATGCTGCTCCACTGGGGCCTGTGGCCTCAGCGATTCCTCGTTTCCACACTAAGAGTGGATCCTGCAACATTGGAGACATGTTTTACAGGTTAAATTAAACTGTCTTGAGATTTAAGCATTTGCATGTGGTGATATGTTGTTTTGAATACCTAAAATTTGGGTCTGTGTGATTTAGTGTATTGTTATGACAATGGG